AACATTTTCTGCCGTCGACGTCTAAAGGTGGAAGCTAGTGGCCTTCCACCAGTGCATGTGGCAACTCGCCATGTGCGTTCAGAGCACTGGGTACCCACTTGTAACACTGCAAAGGAGGTATAGCATCCAGTAGACGTGGTGCACGCATACCTATCTTTATGATTTATTTTATATAAGTCATTTGCGTATGTAAGACTGCTCGGATTTATGGAGAATTTATGCATGAGGCAGATACACATTTGAAATATTACCAAATCAAAAAAGACATTTTTTCTTGCTGAACTTCAACACCGTTAGATACCACATCTGGCCTGACAAGTGCCCAAATCTTGTTAATTAACTGCAACTGACTGGCATACTAAGCTAACGATGCAGCTTTGGTGCCTAATCAAGTTTTTATAAATACTAGTATTGACTTGGTTATGTTATAACGTTCATTTTATACTTCGCAGTCTGAATTTTGTAATTCACCTTGTTCTGTACGGCACCTTGGAATACAGCGATCTCAGCAAGCAGGGTAAACTGGTGCTCCGATTTCGCCCCTGTCAGACAGCAAATGAAACTGCCCAGCCAAGGTGAAGACCTCACCTGTGATGCTATTTTGCCCTTTTCAGTCCCTCAGTTCACTTTTCTGACCTGTTTCGGTCCTCAGAGGTTTTACCCTGAAAAGACTGCGGTTAGCAGGGCTCCATGTACTTTTTCCAGACTACCCTCAACAATACAGCTTTTAAATGAACACGCTGTGTGGAAATGATTACTCGTAGGAGTCCAGCTGAAGTACTTAAGCTATCTAGGAGCCTGGGTATTTATGAATAGTTCTATTCAAACCAATAATGTGCGTGTACCTAGTCAGATTTAAAAATTTCTGTTTATTACAATTGAAGTGATACAGAAAATCAGTAAAATATGTCTGCAATATGCAGATTTGGGGGTAGAAAGACTTTTCTATAGCAGTAACAATGCTTAAATTGTCTTGAACAATGTTTATATTTTTTCCCAGTATGCAATTGTGGAGAAAGGAAAAAATGATGAACATGTGAGTACATCAGCCCAATGATCTGCTTGCTCTCTGCCTCTGCCTCTCTCTCCCGGCTTGGCTGGATCCCGGCCAAACCTTTGGTAGTGAGTGCTTTAGGCTACTGGAACAGGAAATACTTGACGTCTGCTGCGGACTGTAATGGAAAATAGTTTCTAATGATAAAACACTGAAGTTGCCCCATGGAGACATTGTTAAAATGCGTCTCCTGAATTATGGCCATTATTAAATTAAAACATTGTTGGCTGAATTTTATATACTGTTTAATACCGTACTAAAAACAGGTCTCCGATTTTGACAACCAACCAAATAAGGTTAACGGATACCAAAGCGATAATTGTGGAATTCTTTTACACATGATCAGTGTGTCTGCAGCTGCTCCTCATGGGGAAAATCTATTTGTTTTCTCACAGCCTTTCTTGTATTAGTATTTGGAAAATGTCCTGAAAGGGGCCTGAGGTACTATAACAGATGTAGCACCATTATGCCATAAGAAGGTTCCAGAACATAAACCTCCTTCTACATTTTCTCCTTCTAAATTTCCTTGAGTTTATGAATGAACATTTGCGCCTTGATTCAGGTGCTGGTTTGTAAAAGTATCTGGACACCAAAGATGGAGATTCACCGCTTCGTTCTCACACTTCCTTCAGTCCGAAGTATCATCAGAACTGGATAAGAGTTTGGGTTCAGTGGCTGTACTCTGGTTTGTTTCCCATGTTCTGGGAGCAGTAAATCTGTGTGAAAATGCTTCATTGCCCTTGGGAGAGATAGTGGAACTATTTTCACAGGGAATAATTTCCTGTTAAATGTGGGGCAAGGAGGACTAAGTCATTCTCTCTATGCCTTGGGCCACTCAATTGGCCTTCAGAAATACCCTTGAAATAATACAGTGTAAATAATACTAATATGTGCTGTGTTTTAGTGCCAGCAATTTGGGCCTGAACGCCTTCGGCGGGTCGTTTGCGAGCTGATGTGTGGATAAAGGCTTGTGGAGTGTAAACTGTTGTGCACCTTTTCATCATCATTCACTCCCTGCCTTCTGTTGTCATCTCTCCGCCTTGAAAAATATGGAGCATGTTATCAGTGTAGGGGGGGCTTGTAATCCCACCTGAAGGCAACTGACATATTTAGGGAGGGGGGCAGGGAGGACACTTCCCCCCAGTTATGAGATGGGGGGGATCATCTCCCGCGATAATATCACATTGCAAAAAACACATAGGATAAATATATCTCATTACATAATTGAAAGTTTTTTTCTTACAGTTTTTATTTGTAGAACTCCCCATTTACCCCCCCCCCCGGCAGGCAGACGCTCACTTCCAGACCCGCGAGTAAAGAGACAATGAACATAGAGAGCAGTGAGCGCAGAAGCACGGCTCAGCTCTGTGTGTAACCTTAACTCATTGAACACCTTGTATCATAACCAACAGTTAATCAATAAAACGCTATGTGAAAAGGTGGAATTTAATCGTTTCATGTCGATTAAGTTTCATAAAGATTGTCTTGTTATTTTATTGCGCAAACTGCAGCTAGCTTGGTTAGTTAATAGCACAGCACAAATAGCAACGCTGATTAACGAAGCGGTAATAGCTTTTGTGTCAGTCACAATTCTCATCCCACTGCGTTTGCTGTTACGGCATAAGAATGAGTACAAAGCCCATCTAAAAACAGACCTGGCATTTATTTGGAAAACCCCAGAGGTGGCGATTTCAGGTCCAGGGAGTACAAATCCAGACTAAGATTTTGCTGCAACCAACCAGTTGAGTATAAAGAGTCACAGTCACAGAGTTGTACCTGAAATCTCCGCCTCTGAAAAACACTATAGAGTTACTCTTTTAGTTACCAGAAACTCATTCAGTTTATAAACAGTGCTGTCAGAAAGTCCCTTTTATTGGTACGAGATTCAATAAATCCTCTATATCGGGGTGTCAAACTCCAGTCCTGGGGGGCCGGAGCCCTGCACATTTTTGGGTTTCCCCTCCACACACCTGATTTAACTCCGTGTGCTAATTACCACGCTGCTCTTCAGCTGAATCATTTGTGGTGGAACAGGGAAAGAACTAAGCTACACAGGGCTCCGGCCCCCCAGGACTGCAGTTTGACACCCCTGGTCTATATGACCTTCTATGGGTCTTTAGGAGAAGATCTCCTAGTAACTACTTTATGTGTTGTGTTAGTGCAGGTGATTCTTTCTGGGTACAGGACAGTGACAGGGGCATCATAGTAAACCCGGACCTGAGGTCATTCATGGTGGAATCTTCCGAATCGTGCGTAATTTTAATAATCCCCGCAAATTCAGCGTACATAATGTTGGACTTAACGCAGTCAAACTACTGTATCAGTGAAGACGAATAACATTAAAATGGTAAGATAAATTTCACTTTATATATTGTAACTATACCAGCAATAGTTTACGAAAAAAAAGCGAACTGTATGCAACGCAACTTCGGAATCGCCTTATAAAGCGACGTGACATCACACCGCTGACACCGATATACCGCCCCCCCCCCAACGTTAATATGTAACCTACACCCCTGGCTGCACCATACACTTCATCCAGGATGGCATGAGATAAATGGCTGCTATATCTTAGACAGACTTTAGAATGTAAGACTGTCTTCTTTTATATCAGTCACATTGTATAACATGGTTAAATACAGTAAATTACTACCTAATTTGTATGAAATAACATATAGAATTTCTTACATTTGTAAATTCACAAATGTTTTAAGGAATCTGACAAATTAATCTTGCTTGGGATGACTTCATGTGAAACTATTACACTCTTTCTTTTTTTTTTTATCTAAAACAGCATTAAATAGGACAACAAGCAACATATTTCACTCTTTTGTGCTAAACTTAACTCCCATGACATGAAGAAAATATACTCAGATTCCACACAATAAGCTGCGGGATCTCTGGTATATACAGAAAATGAGCGTTTCCATGAAATACACTGCACTCACAGACACGAAACATTTAGTCAAGGTGATTTAAGACGTTCAAACGCAAACAAAATAAGTGTTTGCGGGACGGTTAGCCTTCAGTGATTTCAGACCGACATATTTTTGGCTAGGGAGCAGATTGCAGTATTTTTTATGGCCTCCAGTGGTTTGGTGCATTAGTGGCGTCTGGAAACCGCACTGCTTTTTCACTCTTTGTGGGCAGTGCAGATAAAGCATCGTGTGTAACTATGTGGGTAAAACTGCCCTCCTGCTTGCACTAACTGACCCACGTCACGCCGAGCTGATCTTCCCATTCCACGAAATGCTAAACAGCAGTTAGTAAAAGTGTTTAATATGGACAGGTATCTATTTGGAGTCTGTCCATGCGGGTTTCACTCAGCTTCACTCCCACATTTGGACACACGATGTCCAGGTTTTAAGCTCCTATAGTGTAAGACTGTGTGTATGTGTGTGCTTAGCAGTAAGCCAGTAAGTGCAGAATGAAGGTGAAGGGGATTTCGTGGGCTTTTCATCGGGCTGGTGTGTGCCTCAGTGGGCTGAGCCACTATGTTTATGGTTGGAAGGTTGCCGGTTTGAGTTTGGCTTCAGCAAAATAGCCACATGTCTGTGGGCCCTTGGGCAAGGCCCAAAACCGCCACCTCCCCGGGCAGGTGCCAGGTGGCTGCCTGCTCTCTGTGACCCCTTAGCTTGCCCTTACGCGTATATGTGGCTGTGTGTCTCATGGGCAGCAAGATGGGGTAAAGTTAAAACACAACTTCCCCACAGGGACTAATAAATGATCACTATACTAGGATTGTAGACTCACATACCTGGATAGGTTCAGGTAAAATTACTTTCCTCCGTTCTGTGATTTCTAGAATGGAATTGGGCCAATATCACCAATTAACATTAGTCCCAGAGAACAATTCTTCGTAATTTTTTTCTTTAATCTTGAGGGAAATCCCCACGTGTGACTCACATGGACTTTCCTAATGCATTCTCCTTTTCAACTCCCGCAGGATTCCGCAAAATCAGCTTGGATGACCTCCGGAAGGCGTACATCGTAAAGGACGTACAGCAGTACATTCTGCACCGCCTGGACCAGGAGGAGGCTCTCAGGCAGCACCTCACCAAGGAGACGGCAGAGATGCTGAACCAACTGCACATCAAGAGCAGTGGCTGTTTCCTGTACCTGGAGCGGGTGCTGGATGGGGTGGTGGAGAACTTCATCATGTTGCGAGAGATCCGCGACATCCCCGGCACCCTGAATGGCCTCTACCTATGGCTCTGTCAGAGGCTGTTCGTAAGAAAGCAGTTTGCCAAAGTGCAGCCCATCCTCAATGTAATGTTGGCTTCTTGTAGGCCTCTCACAGTCAAGGAGCTGTACTGTGCCGTCTGGACAAAAAATATGACGCTGACTATGGAGGAGTTCCAAAAGAAAATGGACATCCTCTCCAGAGTACTTGTCAATGGTCTAGGTAACACTAAAATCCTCTTTCACTACAGTTTTGCAGAATGGTTGCTCGATGTGAAGCACTGCACACAGAAGTACTTGTGCAATGTTGCTGAAGGACACAGGATGATGGCAATGAGCTACACCTGCAGGGCTAAAGAGCTCAAGCCGCTGGAAGTTCAGGAGTTTGCACTGCACCTGGTAAACTCCAACCTGCAGATAGAGCCCTTCAATCTTGCACTCTGGATGGTTTGGAACGGAACACCAGCTAAGGACTCCTTGACAACCTCCATCCCAAAGGAACAGGAGGTGCTGCAGCTTCTCGTAAAGGCTGGTGCCCATGTCAGTAGTGAGGATGACCAGGCATCTTGTGTAGTGCAGCAGGCATTGGAAAGGGAAGATGCAATTCGAACTTTGCTTGATAATGGTGCCTCTGTCAACCAGAGTGACTCCTGTGGCAGAACATTGCTGGCTAATGCTGCCTACAGTGGAAATCAGGACGTGGTGAACTTGCTTATCGCCAGAGGTGCCAACCTCGAGCTAAAGGACAACCATGGGCAGACTGCTTTGACCCTATCTGCCAGGCAAGGGCATACCAAGGTAGTGAACTGCTTGATTGGCCATGGGGTGAATATTAATCACGCAGACCATGACGGGTGGACAGCATTGCGGTCAGCTGCCTGGGGAGGTCACTCTGAGGTGGTGTCTGCACTTTTGTATGCTGGTGCTAAAGTAGACTGTGCGGACGCGGACGGTAGGACTGCCTTAAGAGCCGCAGCCTGGGGAGGACACGAGGACATTGTGCTCAACCTGCTTCAGCATGGAGCAGAAGTCAACAAAGCTGACAACGAAGGAAGGACGGCGCTCATTGCCGCAGCGTACATGGGCCATCGAGAGATCGTAGAGCATCTTCTCAGTCACGGAGCACAGGTGAACCATGAGGATGTGGATGGCAGGACTGCTCTTTCTGTTGCTGCTCTCTGCATCCCTGCTAGCAAAGGGCATACCTCTGTAGTCAGTCTACTCATCGACCGTGGAGCAGAAGTTGACCATTGTGACAAAGACGGCATGACACCCCTGCTAGTGGCCGCTTATGAAGGACATGTAGACGTAGTTGACCTGCTCCTGGAGGGTGGTGCAGATGTTGATCACTCAGACCACAGTGGTAGAACGCCCCTTCTTGCAGCTGCTTCCATGGGACATGCATCAGTAGTTAACACATTGTTGTTCTGGGGTGCAGCAGTAGATACCATTGACAGTGAAGGTCGGACTGTCCTGAGCATAGCATCGGCTCAAGGAAATGTGGAAGTTGTCCGAACTCTGCTGGACAGAGGGCTGGATGAGAATCACAGGGATGATTCTGGCTGGACCCCACTGCACATGGCCTCTTTTGAGGGACATCGGGTTGTGTGTACTGCTCTTATTGAGCAAGGAGCTAGGCTCACAGAAATCGATAATGACGGTCGCATCCCACTAATTTTAGCAGCCCAAGAGGGCCATTATGACTGTGTGAAATTGCTGCTGGAAGAGAAGTCCAATGTTGATCAAAGAGGCTATGATGGAAGGAATTCACTTCGAGTAGTAGCTCTTGAAGGCCACAGGGACATTGTAGAACTTCTTCTGAGTCATGATGCCAATATAAACTCTAAAGATGCAGATGGTCGCCCCACACTTTACATCTTAGCGCTCGAGAACAAGCTTGGTATGGCAGAATACTTCCTGGAAAATGGAGCAAATGTGGAGGTGAGAGACCCAGAGGGACGAGCTGCCTTGCATGTTTCCTGCTGGCAGGGACATATCGAAATGGTGCGGCTTCTGATTAGCTGCCACGCAGATGTCAACTCGTGTGACAACGAGAATCGTTCAGCCCTTCAGTCCGCTGCTTGGCAGGGCCACCTTAAGGTAGTTCAGCTGCTGATCGCCAGCGGGACATTTGTGGACCACACATGCAACCAGGGCGCTACTGCACTCTGCATCGCCGCTCAGGAGGGGCATATTAGTGTGGTTCAGATGTTGCTGGAGCATGGAGCAGACCCTAACCATGCCGATCAGTTTGGCCGTACGCCCGTCCGTGTGGCTGCCAAGGGGGGGCATGTACAGATTATCAAACTCTTGGAAAAATATGGTGCAACAAGCCTTAATGGATGCAGTCCCTCACCAATACACAACATGGACCAAAAGGTCCCAATTACAGGAAGAACACTGTCCCTCACCATGAAGTCCAACAGTTCAGGAAGCACAGGGCCTGGAGACCTGCACACTTCAGGCTGTGGCCTGCACAGTGGACCCATCCATGCATTTAGCTCCCCATCAGAGTCCCCAGACTCTACTGTGGACCGGCACAAGTCATCTCTATCTAATAACTCGCTCAAAAGTTCCAAGAACTCCTCGCTAAGGACAACGTCCTCCACAGCAACAGCCCAGACTGTGCCAATCGACAGCTTCCATGGGCTGAGCTTCACTGAGCAGATCCAGCAGCATTCTTTGCCTCGCAGCCGGAGCAGACAGTCTGTAGTTTCCCCTTCATCCACCACCAAGCCCACAGGACAGAAACCCGGTTCCCCAACTAGGGAGCTAGAGTGGAGTCAAATTAAGCCCAACCAGAAGTCATATAAAGGAAGCAAGGTTGGAAATAACATGTCCAATGGCAAGGGATCAGGGGAAAAGAAAAAATCCTTAAACGGGGGCTCATCTCCAAGCCCGGTGCTGGAGTACGAAATGACCCAGTTTGATGAAAAGATCTTTCTCGCCAAGCCAGCAGCAAGCCTTGGACTGAAAGAACCACAGTGCAAAATATTGATGCCCCCCTCCATCCATCAGGATGTTGGCCTCTCCCCACAGCAACTCCTCCTTCAGCACCAGAGCCTGGCAGACAAAAAGAGAAATGGCATCATGACTAACCCTAAATACCACCTGCAAGGTAACCAGGTGTTTTTCAGCAGAGTCACTGTCCCCACGACCATGATAGACAGGAGTCATCAGCATTTGTTAGATGGCTACCCGATAGGTGACACTGGATTAAGTCTTAAACAAGCGCTGAAATTACAGCTTGAAGGATCCGACCCTGGGTTCAACTACAAGAAGGAGACCCCATTATAGCTGGTAAGTTTTGGAAGCAATTTCATTATTCAGCTGGAAATATAATTATTTTTGACTATGATGGTTTATATCTGACAAAGTAATTCTTGTTATTGCTTTTGCTTGGCATACTGTGTAATGTTATTGGAGAAACATCTGAAAATCAGCAAGATCTTCATTAGCTAAATGTCTTGTATAGATGTTTGTTGTACATCAGAATGTGTCACATACTGCTTACAAAAGTATGTAAAATGTCGGTATTAGATGCTATTTAATATCTTTTGCGGAAAATTATATTCCATCGTTTTGTTGCTTAGCTGACATATTTTCCATGGTGAAGCATTTTTTCTTTCTTACAATTACTTGTACAGCATATTAGAATTTAGCTAAAACAGCAAGTAGTTTACTAGATATTCCAGGAAATTACCTTGCTTTGCAAAACAAGCCCCCCCCCCACCTTCAGGGCAAAAACATCATGTCATCAAGGTGATACATGGAGTCGTTTTTTTTTCAAAAATGTCATCATTACTTCTGTTGCTCTGGTGTTCTATTTGTCAATGAAGCACACGCACACGCAGGCACACACACACACACGCACACGCACGCACACACACGCACACGCAGGCACACACACGCACATGTAGGGTAAACATATCCTTATGGGGACCGCTCATTCATTTCAATGGGAAAAATGCTAACGCTAACTATGACAACCTTAACCCCTACCCTGCCCTAACCATGACCATAAGTAACCTAACAAACTACAAGAGTTTTTGCATTTTTAGTTTTTTCATAGCAGTCACCGATTTTTATAAAATTGAGAGAAAAAATGGATATTTATCACGTTATGGGGACATTGTGTCCTCGTAAGGATAGGTAAACCCGCTCGCACGCACACGCACACACACACACACGCACACGCATACACATGCACATACACGCACACACATGCATACACATACACGCACAGACACACACGCACACACACACACACATGTACATATAATATATACATATATATTCATCCACTTATATTGCTGTCCTTTGAATATAAGGAAAAGAGATTTTTATCACATTAAAAGAGACGAATGCTTAGTGATGGAGCTTTTGTTTCTGTGAATTATATTGCTGAGAGACTATACTTTGCCAGTAAGCAGTGCGTCCAAGACGAGCACAAAAGCACGTTATCCGTTGCTATTTCAGATGCCTGGAACCACATCAGCTGTCCAGATCTAATGGAGAATGTGCCAAAAAGACTCCTTTTCAGCGCCACTGAACTGAAGTCCTCATCCACTGCGCTCAGTGGAAGCTTGGATCAGCTGCGACGTGGCCTCCTGTTGCCACAGTCCTCTCAGTGTAACCCTGCACGCATCTCTGTCTTATTAAGTGATATCTAATGCGCTGCGTTTGCACTTTCTACCGAAACACCTGTCGCCATTTTCAGTCAAAACCCTTTGTTCTCTTTCCAAAATGAATTGTTAAAATTGAGCTATATTTTTTCGCTCTTGTTTCATTTGTGTTTAATTTTTTATTTTTTTTACGTTTTATATTTTTGATGCTTGTGAACATACATGTTGCATACATGTTCTTTATATGTTACGTGTATTGATGCTCTGCCTTTCTGAAGGTGAAAATTCAGTGTATCAATCTGAGCAGTGTTACTTTGGTAACAAAAAGCATTTCATGTTTTTTTTTCTGATGGTCATTTGTAGTATGGGTATAATTAAATGTATTTATTTTGGGAAAAATAAGCCACTTGCATTGCACTGACATCTTGTTGGGTTTAGTCATATACACTCATCGGCCATTTTATTAGGTATGCTCCTCCAAACAGCAAATCATATGGCTGCAGTAGAATATATTCATCATGCGTACGGGGTCAAGCGGTGCGGTTACTGTGTAGCTAAGCATCAGAATTGCTAATCTGCCAGTTCTAAGTGATTTTGAATTTGGTGTGACCTTTGGTGCAAGACATGGTGGATCCGGTGGATCCAACATCTTAGAAGCTGCCACCTTGCTGGGATTTTCTCACACTACAGTATCATGGGTTTAATGAAAATGGCACAATTAAAACACACCCACCCACACACACACACCCACACACACACACACAAACAGTCAGTGGCAGTTCTGCATCTGAAAAAAACACCTGGTTAATAAGGTAAGGTCAGTTGAGAATGGCCAGCCTCGTGAAAGCTAACTGGAAAGCCACGAGCATAAAACAGCTCAGTTTAACAGTGGTATGCAGAACGGCGTCTTTGAGTGCACAGATCATCAGCCCAGAGGTGGTTTTGTGGACAAAAGGGGCACCTACCTGATACTATGTAGGGGTACCTAATAAAGTGACCTCTGAGTGTATATGGTAGCGTGACAACAGGAAATCAGACTTCTTTCATTTCAGCCTTGCAAAATTATGGCATGTTTCAGAAACAGTGTCATGAAAGAAGGTGTTTCATGCTAAATAAAGTAACCATATATAACGTGCACTCTTGAAAGCAGTAGGAAATCACGATCTGCAAAAAAGACGTTCTGTACTATTCTAGTCCGTTGGCGTTTTTGTTAAGAGCTTCTGGCGAAGAAACATTTTCACCCGTTTGCCGAACTTCCATCAGTTTGTTCTGGCAACGTTTTCCGGCTCTTGCGACCATCTCCAGATTCTGAGAGGCTGGAGCATGTGCCGTTTTCTTGGGCTGTTCTCTGTGCCTCAGTGTTGGCTCTCAGTAGAGGGTGGAGATCTTATGAGGGCAGCTATGGGACCGTGAACATCTGCTAGAGGGCGGATGAGTGTTTTTTTTTGTCCTCTTTCTACGGGGCGGCCTGCTAACTTCAGTCATGGTGTCTCTCTGGAAGGAGAGGACAGACAAAAAGCCAAGTGGAATCCGCTGTAACGTGTGCACAGTCACAATAAGAGAAACCAGACAAGCAGGAGGCTCGCTGTCGTCCTCTAAACCGCAGCCCTTATTGAAAAGCAACTGGATACACAGGGAAAGACGATGGGTGACTTAGGTACGGGAAGCCAAAAGGCGCTGAGGAAGACGCATTATTGTTTGATTTTTGTTCAGCGAATGTCATTTTTCCTGTCATTTTTTGACTAAACTTAAACCATCTGATTGTACAAAGCTTGTGTATATTGAACTCAGCATTAAAGAAAAAAAAATGTCCTGTATTATATTGAAGTCCCGATGTATAATAAAGTACTTAATAAATATAATTGCTTTACTGCAGGTGCAATGCCTACTTACTGTTTGATTTTGCTCGTTCTTGACTTAACCAAGATTTTGTTCACGTCTGAATCGGGATGAGGCAAAAAGAACTGTTACTATCCATTAACAGCTTGGTTAAGGCGATATTGCTTCATTGTCAAGGTTTTTTTTTTGCACTGCTGAGTTTCAGGGACCTGATGTGTTCAAACTTGGAAATTGTTCATACTCACACCTGTGGGGTTCTGACAATCCCTACAGTAATGTATTACATAACACCGGCCGACATTAAAAAAAAATTGTTAGGTGATTTAACAAAAACAAGCGCATGTTCTACAGTTTCTCATGCAGTTTCAGAATATGGCTTCTAATTTGCCGCCACATGTCTGGTTTTGTCACAATTTACAATTAAAGTTCAACATAAATTACACTAGCCGACATCAAATTTGGTGAATAATATCAAATGACATTTTTCAAACACCCTTCATAAACAAACATTTTTAGTATATTTAAAAAAAAAATTCTGTGACCTAATAATGTCATTCTGATACCAGTCATATAAAATCACCAGTAACCTGTTGTAGACTAATTATTTGTACAAACTAGTCAGCAGGGTTTACAGGCAGCTTGCAGTTATGTAAACTTACTGTATACACACACACACACACATATATATATATATATATATATATATATATGTATATATTTATATATATTTTTCTGCCTATAAATGCAACACATTGTGACATCTGAATGATTCTGTGCTGTATAGACGGTAGCTGACACTAGAGGAGATTGGCTTTAATTAGTTGCATAGCCCTATCTTGCATGTAGTTTTGGTTAGACCAGTCACCTCCCAAATGTACACTTAATATTAAAGCTTCAAGCTCAGAAGAAGAGATTTCCTCTAACTCTAAGGGTTTAATTAATATTATAACATATATGATGTTCAGAAAGTACTGGAGCTTGAAGCTGGCTGGGATCGTCCATAGTGTATGAGGCGTTTCTGGGTAATTAAATCAAGCTACGAATGGATATTCGGTTATTAGAAGCTCTCTTGTCGTTCTTCTTGCCAACCTGAGGGACTCGGTTTATTCTTAGGTCTTCTTGGCTGTATCTACGGCTGCCACATGCAGGGATTCTCTGATATAGCTCTGTATGGCTATATCTGTATGCATCACCGTGGCCCTCCTCACCATTGAAAGGTCCATCAGTCTGCAACCTGATGCTCTGACCTCCAAAGCAAAGCATTTTATGGCCTTCAAACTTTCTCCTGATGCAGGACTATCTTCAGTCGACTGGGTGCTTCCTGTCATCCTTTCAGGCCGGGTTGGTACTCAGCCTCTTTGACTCGGATTCTCTTTGGCAACTTAACCTTTGACCTTGTCGGCATTTTCGGCTTCACGCCAAGGTGTTGGCCGGCTGAAGCTGAAGGATAGATGGTGCTACCTCATGAGAGGAAACAGATGGAACGTGTTTGTTTTCTCCTTAAGGCAAACATGATTGATCTAAGTCAGGCAGATGACACTCACAGGTTTGTTTTGGTTTCTATACACTTGTATCCCTTGGATTTCTTATAAGAGGGTCAGTTTCTTTATCCAAGAGTAATGCTGGGTTCCAACCTCTGCAAAACCGTCTGACCGATTTGTCAATAACGGCTGCTATCTTCTAAAGCAGGTTCTGCTTGCTCACATGTTAGCTTTAATATGTCAGAACACAATGCAGAAATGGATGAGGTCCACGCAAGCTACCATAGATGCCACTCGTTATTTAACGTTTCGCTTATGCTTGCCAACATGCGGGAGGTGGGTTTTTCTTGTTTAGCTAGCAACTAGGCAAGATCCTAGTTGAAGTACTATTGAATAGATTGCCACATCCAATCTCTCAACATGTAATAGGTTTCCCACTGGCCTCTAGAAAGTGATGAAGAATTTCCTTATTTAACCCGCAAGCGTCTGCTGTGTAGTGTGGAGACATCAGTCCAAGTATCCAAGTGCTCCTAGCAACAATTGACCCACTTTGATCCATTTCCTTGGCACTCGAGTATTGGAAATTCTGGCAGGACTGAGGATTTGCATGGAGATAGATTTGTCCAAACTGATCTCTAGGAATTCCATTTGACACGCTGCACAGACCTGATTAGATGGTGCAATGGGCGATAGCAAGAACCACTTTCCATGGATGTCTGAACACGGCCTGATCGCCTATTTTAAAATTACTGGGGAATTATATATTTTCATAAGTTCCTCATTATGCTTTCACATTATCTTTAAATGTTATTCAGATTCAGCTTTTTCTCCAAATAATGCTTTCAGCAAAAGAACACACAACTCTTTATCAGCATGATCCACATGCAGACTTATTGGATATGCATTTATATACTTAAAGTTGCATGTAAAATCTGAAATCATTTTATATAATTATTCTGAATATAAAATCATGGCAATACTGCTCAGTTAAGCTAGCTAAAATGTAGCTTTTTTACTCTGACAATTCAATGCCCAGAAGATGAACTGGGGATACATGTTACCAAAGTGGACAATTAACTTGCCAAATGTCTGGCCAATGTGGCAGCTATAGCGTTGCCTTCAATTCGAAAAAGGCAAATGTTATGTTTCATGCTGCTGTTTGGTCTCCCTCATGAAGAACCTCATTGGTCTGTCAAATACAAAATTAGTTTTTCCCTCCAAAAAAGCTCAGGCCTTAATGAATCTGGCCGCACACTGGAATTCACACTCAGTTAGGGCAAAATGAGGCTCTTTACGTTTTAGTGCACACATCACATTGTCTTTCGCAGTCATTTTTCCTTCTGAAAAACAAAGAAATTCACACTTATTCCATATTACTGTGACTGCTGGAAGCAGTTATCAATGGCTAAGGCAAGCATATACTGTAATGCATTTTCTGTGACTAAATGTTGCAAGATTGTAAAGGCACACATTTTCAGTTCATACTTTCCTCAGAAAAAGAATCAAATAGCACTCTTTTTTATACTTTGCACTTTTTTTATACTTTTTTTCTTTGTATATATTAGCAATTCACCATCATATTTAAGACTTTTAAATTATCACTGCAAACACAATAAGTACAACTAGAAAATGATGGAAACCAAATTCAACATCGTGGCGTCTCTGAGCAGCAGAATTCATGAGTGTCCTGATGACCGATCACCTGCTACACTGAACCTAAACTGAACGCCACAAACTGAAATTCAAATTGGGCCACATTAGTGAATTTGTTTGCCTCATACAAACTGTGGTGGAAGCTTTTTATGTTTCCCATTAGCATGACAAACACACTGCATCTATAACCAGTGTTGCCTATGTGTCCTCTCAGTATCTGCAATAAAACATGACACACAGAAAGAGACAAAGCTAAATCCCTAATATAAAGCAGATATATTCTTCACACTCTGACAGAACAAAAAAGGACAAAAACAGCACAGTGCCCCTGAAGGTAAGAACCCCCTGAATCTTGGATTGGAATTTGCTTTTGTTAACCTTATATATTTATTAAAGGAAACAGCATAGATAAATTATTCCTCAGCGCACCTGCTTGTTCACTTGTTCACTGCCTCAAACTGCCTTTCAGACAACGCTAATCCATTGATGGATTATCAAAGTAACTTCAAACCGCCAGTGGATTTCTTGCATGTCATCCGCAATTGATGACTTTACTTGAACTTCGACTTAATATTCCCAAAGCGAAATGCGACTTTTGTCGAGACGCATTGACTAGGCTGATCCCCCGTAAGCATTTTGATTTATGGAGCAATGAGTGAGATCAGATTTTTACATGTGACTTGATGACTATATATAATGATTAGGGAGACAGGCTACCTTTCTGACATCACTCAATGTCAGGTAGATCCAGTGAACAGACTATACTGTATGTTCTTTTTTGTTTTGTTTTTAGGCAGGCTAACGTAATAATAATAATAATAATAATAATAATAATAATAATAATAATGGCCTCAGTCAGTAGCAGTGTTGTCTGACTCCTCCTGGTTTGGGGAGCTGAATCCTTCCCCTTCTATCGAGTTCACACTTCCTGCTCGTGTTGTGTGGGTTTCCTGTCAGTATCCCAGTTTCCTCTGAGAAGCTGTTAGGTGACCTTCGACCTGTAAATTGCCCAGACTGTGTGTTTGCATGCATAGGTGTGTAAGTGCCCTGTGATGCTCCAGGGTCTCCCCCTTGAGGATCTGGATGTTGGAAGAATGGTGGATATTATTATGATTAATATTATTACATATTACAACATATTATTAATATTTCTGTTCTTCATTAAATTCACACATTTAATAGGGAGGAGATTTCATTCCTTTTTCATAACCCTTATGCTATCAGCTGACTCATGCATACATTTGTACAGTATAGCTATTTCTATGCTGAATGTTGTGAAAATATTGACACCGCAGCCAATACAGGTACTGAATCAGGCCAGAAAATCCAGGGAATCCATCCATGTGTCTATGTATTTATTACCGTGCAATTCATGTATCTGAGCATGTGACATTTCATCCACCTCATATAAACTCTGCCAATCCACAGTGTTAGTGCCTGTCTGAAGTATCAACCTGGCCTATACAGAGCGACCCCCCCTCCCCCCCCCCCCCCCCCCCCCCCCGCGCATTACGCCTGCTCTCTCCAACCTGCTCCTGCTTCTTCAGCCTCAAGCATCCAAAGTTTTAAACAGCGACATTCATCAGCAATTTTACAGAATGGGTTTTGAATTTTGGATTCGGGGGGGGGGGGGGGGGGGCAGTTTCACAGAAGGCCACCCTCCTTATACACCAGCTACAGGGTTAAAGCTCTACCTGTACGGATCATAGAGAAGGTTTCTGCAGCTTCCTGTACCCAGAGCAGATGGTTTGGGGCACTGAAACATGGGCAGAAATACCAATAATAATCTGACATTATTACAGGAAGATGACATGCAGACCCACCTCACAAAACACGCTGCCTTCACTTATGCCAAGGTTCTGCTCCTTCAGCTTCGCGCTGGGTCCTCAGGTAGACGATCACGCTTCTCTG